GAGCTACCTGCTGTACATTGGGTTTGAACAGAAGCATACAATCATAGAGCGGCATGGTTATCCTGACCCCTGAGACAGAAAAAAAAAAAAAGCTCAGTTTAATACCAAAAAAAAATTTGTCGTGAAATGTGAAGTTTACGCATATACAGAGAAACGGACTGGTGAAGGGAGGTGATAATTACCTCGAAGCTGAGCCCGTTAATGGCAGTCTTAAACGTGTTTACGCCTGTACTCTTAAAGAGATTTCAGAGGAAGCCTGAAAAAGAAAACGTAATAAAATTGGCACGATAAGCACTGGAAGCGAAAGACAGAGAAGGGAATTGCCGATTTGATGATACCAGCTTATCGCCGATAAATGCCGGCGGTGGCGTGGATCGCCGATGGCGGCTGTTTGTAGAGAGTGCGACGGTTGATTGTTTGAACCGTTGGATTGAACTTAAAACCCTTTCATCTTCCTGAAAATACCAAGTTAGTTTTTCTTTTTCTCTTTCTTTTTCATTTTTTTTTTTTGCCATTTTTCCCGAGATAAAATTGGTCTAAACCATAAGCCACGTGTTGCAACAATTCACCCACGATCCGACCCGGTTTTTTTTTTTTTGTTTTTGTTTTTGTTTTTGTTTTTGTTTTTGTTTTTATAATTATTTTAGATCGAAAATAATAATATATTAGTGTAACCATCTTGCAAGAAGACATGCAAAAGAAAGTTAAGAGTACGCTCCAAATAAATAAATTTATTGACACATTCAATTTAAATTTTTCTCAAGGCATTAACATGACATTTATAATATTTTGAAATTTAAAGATAAAAACTAATTCAAAAAAGAAAATATGATATATCTTCTTCAATTATTATATTATTAATTATATGGCTATAAGCCTATTATATCGACAAAAATAAATATACGTTATGTTATTTACACCAACAAAATTATATTTAATATTAAAAATATATCGAGATTCTAAAAGATTTTAGTAAATAGATCAATTGAGTTAAATTATTAGTACCAAAAATATAAAATAAAAGTATATTATTTTTAATGTAGCTTTTAGTATTAAATTTATTTTAGTTGATGATATGAAATGTCAATTATTTATGTGACAATATACATTAAATAGTTTAATGAAACCATTCACTAAATGTAATTGAAAATATTAAACAAATTAAATAAAATGAAACTTTGGGTTCTTAGTTTTCCATTCGTGTAGAAATCAGTCATGTAATGTATATTTAGCCAAAATAAACTAATATATTATAAACATACTAAAATTTTGTACAAATTTATTAATGTGTATATATATATCATCAAATATAAATAAATTGTTAAGATATGCACAACTCATTTTTTACTAGATTAAAAACATTCTCATAGGGCCATGCCTATTATATTGGAACCATCCATAACAATTTCAAAGACCTCTTATCTTAAAATAAAAGTATTTTACATCATGTGTTCATTTCTACTGAGCTTTGTAGAATCAAGAGCCAACAAAATCATCTCAAAAGATAATGATAAGGCTCTTAATAATTTAAAGGAAAAAATAATCTTGTAGAAGACCTAAAAAAATTATATATCAAAAGAACAAAAAATAATTTTATTAGAAAATCTATCAAAACAAACCAAATAAAAACAAGCGTGTAAAAACCCAAGACTTAATTGAATAAAAATCTTGAATTGATGAAATAATAGCAAAAATAACTGAGAGTTTAGAGTTTACATTCTTTACACAATAAATTAAAATGCTCAATAGGGATATGAGATGTCCCTTTAAGGAAATTTAAATACCAAAAATGGAAATATAACTAAAAGATCAACCTCCGCTAAATAACTCTGAGGGGATACAGGAGGCAACCTTTAGTCGCTAACTTTCCTGCTATTCAGGATCCGGATCTTGGTTTTTCTGATTTGAAATGGTTAAATAAGGGGGATGAACTACACTAATACAGTAAGAACGTCAACATTTAATACCAATACGAAAAATCAAAAATTGATAACAAATTATAAAACAACCAATGAAACTATTTTTCTTTTTAAATAAATTCATTTAATTGAAAAAAAAAGTAAGTTTCATACTCACCTTTTAAGTTCTCAAATTCGACTTGTGAAGACAATAATCAAAATAACAATTCATAATACATTCCAAAAAACAATAATAGCCAAATTTACCTTTTTACCTACCTACCTACCTGTACCTTTGGGGGTCCATAGGGGTTTCCTCTACACGTGGACTTAACATCCAATTTATTAATTAACCGGTCGTTTCCACACTCCATCCAGTAATGAGTGCTAAACGTACCACCGCCTCAATACCATGTTTGGTATGAGGGTAAACAATACTTCCCAAACCCTTCTGGTATGAGACTTTTCAGCCTTGTTCGACTGAGGTAATGTCTACGGTAGAGTTTGCCTTATATATCAAGTCCGTACACCCTTTCTTATAATACCCGGTAAACCTTTTATATACATGTTTACATCATCAACTAGCCACCATTTGCATAGAAACATCTCATTTCATATTCACAAATCAATAGAACAACGTTTAAACAAACAATAAAAATTGATACTTTAACAATTAAGAAAAACATGATTAAGGTATTTATTTCAAATCAATCACAGATAGGGATAAATGGTTAAGTAAATCAATGAACGAGAAGACAAATAAACCAGTGAATTAAAATGCGTGTAATAAACAAACAAATACAGTCTACTAATAGATAAACAGTATAGGTAAAATAAACAGTTTCGTACTGACCAGTTACCGACTTCACTAGTGACTTGTATTTAATTAATTAGAAGTTTCTAACATTTACAAATTGCACCGTTATTATTTACTAGACTTTAATTGACTATAACGGGAGAAAATGGTGAGAGATTCTTACTCCGATTCAGTATTCGAAACACTATCTTTTTCACTGCACCTCCTATCAATTCTAAAATTTCTTGAATTTTTTCGTCGAAAACCAAAATACTCATCATGTGTTCTGAAATATCTAAAAATAAGGATTTTTAAATTTTCTGGCCAGTTTAGGGTTCTAGCACGGCGGTGTCTTCTCTCAATCTGGCCAGTTTTAATCGATTTCGTGCAAAAACTTACATAAAATGAGGTTAAACAGCATCTGTTGGCCGAAAAAGGGAAAAACCAAAGCATTACCAACAGGTTTTCGGTACGGTGGCTTCGCCGTTTCTCTCTCGCGGCGGGGATTTTATTCGGTCGACCTGCACCAGAAAAGGATTAGGTACACAATGGTCAAAAGACTGAAGGGAACAGGAAATAGGAAATAGGAAATAGGATCAGGCTCATCGAAGCAATTTTTGGGTCGCAGCTGCAGCAGCTTAGCTGAGCTCTGCTCTTAGTGTTCGACTTCCTTTTTGGCTTTTTGGCGCTGATATGGGTGTGGGGAGGCTTGAAATCAAATTCTAAAAATGAAAGGTAGAAAAAACTTACCTCCTCAGTGTCGACAGCGACTCTAGTGCAGCAACAACGACGGTCGGCTTTCCTTTCGGTCGCCCTTTTTCTTTTTCTCCAACAGGGTTGGCTGTGGCTAAGGTTAGGATTTTTGGGAAAAAATGCTTAAATACCCTCTCAGCATCGATCTGGGCCGTCCGTGAAGGGACATGTGGCCCATTCTCAACTTGTTAGATCATTCTTATTTAGAGAATTAATCTGGACCGTACAATCAGATTAAATCTAGTCGTTCGATTGCATCTGAAGAGGAAATTGATATGGGTTCTCTATATGGGTGAGAGGAGATTTGGGCAGTTGGATATGTTGGCATGCGGATCGCTAGAGTGGCTTACTGTATGGACACGTGTCCGCATATCTTCCATGTGGCGCATGACGACCAGCCATGCTGTTGACGTGACGGTCCATGTGGCCAAATTTTTGTTATTTTTACTTTTACCATAGTTTTTTAGATTTCTTTTCAAATAAGTTATCTTTTATTTTTATTTTAGCCCTGATTTTTGAAAATATTTTTAAATATATCCAAAACACAATTTTCTTCAAAAAATTCAATTAAAACTTAAAATTCAACTTTTTAAATTTGTATTATTATTATGATTTAATTATCCTAGGCCTAAATTCTGGGTCCGAGTGTTACAACTTTCCATTCCTTAAGAAAATTTGGTCCCTCAAATTTATCACTCTCTCACTAGTCAAACAATTGAGGGTACTGGGCCTTGAAGTGTGATTCTAGCTCCCAAGTGACCTCGTCTCTCGAGTAGATGGATATTCCAATCATGTCCAAAATCTCAAACGGTCCGATAAACCATAGTTTAACTTTCTCATCTTTCTAAACCTGTTGATATCTTTAAAGAGGGTGACCTTAAGGAACACTCGATCACCATTTTTAAATTCCAAATCACTCTTTTGGATGTCCACATAACTTTTCATTCTACTTTGGGTTGTCTAGATATTCTTTTTTATTTTAACTATCTTTGTTGTGGTCTCATATACAAGGTCTGAACCAATCAATTTTCTATCACCCACCTCTTCCCAATAGATCGATGATCTACAGGGTTGATCATACAATACCTCATACGGAGTCATGTCGATACTTGCTTGATAATTGTTATTGTAGGCAAACTCTATCAAGGGTAGGTGATCGTCCCAATACCCTCCGAAGTCTAGAACACAAACCCTGAATATATCCTCTAGTGTACGAATGGTTCGTTTTAATTGTCTATCTGCTTAAGGGTAGAATGTTGTGCTAAATAATAGTTTCGTTCTCATTACTTGCTGAAAACTTGTCCAAAACTGAGATCTAAACCTGAGGTCTCTATCTGATACCACTATCACCGGAACTCCATATAACCTAACTATCTCCCGGATATAGGTTCTAATTAGTTTATCCAAGAAGTCGATCAATCTGATAACCAAGAAATGAGAGGACTTGGTGAGTTGGTCAACAATTACCCAAATTGTATCACGCCTCGAGCGTGCCCTAAATAACCCTGTTACAAAATCCATAGTGATATGTTCTCATTTTCACTTCGGGATAAATAATGGCTGAAGTAGCCTGCCTGGGTGTTGATGATATGCCTTGACTTGCTAACATACAAAACACTTGGAGACGAAATTGGTAATTTTTCTTTTCATCCTGCTCCACCACCTCCATGCCTAGAGCCTCTGCAGATGCTGCGGCTAGCACTGTAGGGATTTGTGTACTATGTGATGGAAGATGGCACGTGGATCTAGATTCCACTTGAAAGTGGTGATCAAGCTCGGGCCGTTAATCTAAAAATATAATCAGGCAGTTTGGAGTTTACGTATAGTTTACATAAAGTCTAAAAAATGAAACTTCTAATCTGCGTAATCATTAAGCCAGAGTGGTGATTAGGGGAGATTAGGGGGCGTCACATGCTTTGATACATCTTAGTACTTCTGGGATGCATGATGAACTTTGAACTGTGAGCCTCTGTCATGATATCTCTTTTCAGTTCACTATCATTTAAAATACATACCATGTCTTAAAATCTGAGCAAA